AAACAGAAGAGAAGGAAGGAATGGTGAAGTCGTTTTCAGGAAAAAAGAACAGCATGTGCAAGGCAAAGAAGGAAGGCAGAATCCGGCATGTTTGAAGAATTGCAAACACTTGATGTCAGTGGAGCATAGAGTGGGAGTGAGTGAGAAGCGAAAGACAGGGTGTGAAATGGGCAGAGCTAGGTCTTGTTATCCCTGTTACACTGGTGGTGAACCTATAATAGACATCAAATTGGCAGTCAAGTGAGATTCCCCAGGACTTTCTGCTATTTACTCCAGTTTCAAGCAATGCTTACGGGTGAGCTGCATTTGAAGCACACCTTCTGCCCTCTGACTCCATCAGCCATCCTTACTCCAGGGTAGAAGACGCTTAACCAGGTGGAATCTTGAGTGAGAATCAAAGATGGTATTAAAAGTTTACGGATGGGTGGAAGAGGCAACCACAGTGTGGCCAAGCCTAGGAACATGATCTTCCTTTTCTCTTTCCACAGCATCTGGCGCAGTCACCTCCTTCTGTATCTTACTTTTTCCCTCACCCAGAGACCCTCTGGCTTCCCAATGCGTGGAGTCCAACCAAGACAATCCCTGAGTTTATCCCTAAGGACAGCACAGGCTCAGCAGAAGACTATTAATCACAAAGTCTCTGGCACATAGTAGGTACTTAATATATCTTTGTTGTGTGAATGGATATGAATGCATCAAGATGGAGTCTTTGCCTTTTCTCCCCGCTGGCTTTCTCTTGTTTTCCAGAACCCAAATCTGATGGTTCGGGGGTGGGTGGGTGTGTGGGGGGTGGTGGAGCCAAACGTGTGCTAGGTGCTTTGAACTAGTCATCTTCCATCCTCACCACAGCTGGCACTGCATGTCCACAATCTCTTATCCCAGAGCCAGGTGTGCTTCAGATTTTGGAAAGGTGATACTGCAAAATATATGTTTTATTATATAAAACCCCTCATGGGCCAGGGAGCACCTTGCAATGAAACACGAAAACTTTTGTTGCAGTGAAATGTAAGAATATTCACACCAAGTAGGAAACCTTAGGCCATGCCAGGTCTTGCTGCTGAATGAGTTATGAAATGCTTCTGGTTTTCAGAGTGTGGGAGTTTGGAAATGGTAGATAGGAGACAATGGATCTATGAAATCCTCCCTTTTTGGAGGAGTCAACTAAGAGATGAAGTAATGTGCCCAAGGTCACTCCACTAAGGCAAAGAGTCCGGATTACGACACAACTCATCCAACTCCAAAGCCCATGCTCTTTCTACTGTGGAATTCTGGGTTGCTTGTCTTGTCTGCTGCCCAGTACAAAAAGGAGTAAATGGCAGCTGTTTCTGGTGCGCAGCTGCCAGGACTGATATGTAAGACCAAGTTTGGAAAGAGTTTCTGGCTGGAACAGCAATGCCTCCATCTACTGGACAAAAGCAGGAATGACACCTGACCCATTCAGAGAAATGAAGTGTGTCCAGGTAACGGATTCTCAAGAAGGGTGGCTGAATTGTCTCCCCTTCTGTAACTGTGCAAATCATATTTCAGGAGCCAGAAAGCTGCTTCTAAATTACTCTTACATAATCTATCCTTAAAATAATAACAACAACAATGAGAAGAAACCTTTTTCGCCCAATTGCCAGACATTCTCGAGTGAAAGTGCCAAGTTTCACCATCCTCAGTACCTCTACAACGTCTCTTCGAAAACATGACACTGTTATTTCAAAATTTTCAGTGGTTCCCATCCATTGACTCCAAGGACCTCCTTGCAACCACTCTTGCTGCTCCAGCCATTCCCCACATCATGCACTTTTGCCCTCACTGGGCCCTTATTGTACCTGTATTTTCTGCTATAGCACCTGCCTACTACAATACATTTGTTGCTTTGCTTGCTTCCTCGGCTAGACTCCTAGCTCCTGCACCTTTTAGGTCATCTGGAATATAGAATGGGTTTTCATCATTTCTGAGAGATGAAAAATTAGAGTGAATTTATTTCATTAGCTTAAGACAATCAAAAGTACGATCATTAATTAAAAGCACATACAGTAACCATTGTCAGACTCCCAAATCTCAGTGGAATTACATTTTTTAAATCCTTTGAATGTGAACTTTGGTAGAAGGCAGGATGGAGAGAGCTTGGGGATATTTGTTTCCCTAAAGAAGGAAGATTGTCAAAGAATCAGTCTACAGAATGATTTGTTCATGTAAGAAATTATTCTTTCCTTGAATCCCCCATATCATCTTCTCTTTTCTCAGACAGTGTCTTGAATTCCTCAAAGTAAAACCTCAAAGTGAACTGGACAAAGAAGCAAGAAACTGTACCTGGAATATGGCACTTTAGAAGTTGGAGTGGGTTACAAAATAAACAGATATTGCTATTGTTTTTTAAGTTATTTGTATTGTTTTTGCAAAAGCTTTACTTAGATATAATTTACATACCATTTAGAGTATATAGTTTGGTGGTTTTTAGTATATTCACAAAATTGTGCAACCATTGCCACCATCAATTCTAGAACATTTTCAGCAGAAAGAAAACCCCATACCCTTTAACTATCAATCCCCAAGCTTCCGCTCCTGGTATACCACCAGCCCAGCCCCTGGCAACCTACTTTCTGTCTCCATGGATTTGCCCATTCTAGACATTTCATATAAACGAAATTATAAAATATGCGGTGTTTTGTGACTGGCTTCTTTCACTTAGCCTAATGCACTCAAGAATCACCCATGTTGTGGCATGTATCCATACTTCACTTCTTCATATGGCTGAGAAATATTCTATTGTACGGCTATATCACATTTTGCTTACTTTTTCATCAGTTGATGGATAGTTGGGTTGTTTCCACAGAAGCTATTATGCATACAGCTACTATGGACATTTATGTATAGTTTTTTTGTGTGGACATATGTTTTCAGTTTTCTTGGGTATATACCTAGGGATGGAATTGCTGCATCAAATGATACAGGTATGTTTATTTCCTCTCCCTACTAGATTAAAAACATCCCCAGGGCACTGTTTGAGGCATTCATCTTTCGTCTTGGCGCTATGTACATAGATGTCCAGTAAATGTTCATTGACTGGAATACATGAATAGACGATATTTGCAATTCTAACATGAAACATGGTAAAGAGTTGGGGGATTAGACAGGCAGCATGAATAAAATTAATCTTTTTTAAAAAACTCAAGTCATGAACAGTTTTAACACTGACAGGTATAATTGCAAAATATATCTCTCAGAACATCAGCTCTCATTTTGTATAATGAGAGCAACAATATCTTACAGAGTTGTTCTATTAAAACTGTTTTCGTGTGAGGAGGCCTCCAACAGACCTGGCACATACAGTCAGTACTCAATGAATGCTTTGTAGGCAGTTAAATTCAGTATGGTCCCTCATCCACAAACTTGTCCAAGCTTTGGCCTTCTGTGAAATATTGTCTAGCTTTGACCTTGAAAAGACTGGCTTTTCATCTCACCTACTGCCCTGTCTTTTGCTGCCCAATGTGAGATCGTTATGCCTGTGTCTACATTCATGATATCGAAGCAACTAGTTTATCTAGTAAAAAGAGCTGATTAATCTCGTGAATCTTGCTTTCAAGGTAAGAATTAGAAGTGCCACCTCGCCAGTTCTGCCTGGCAACATCCCCACATCCCTATGGTGAGCTGTGCCCACTGGAGCTGCACGCTCTTGAAGTCTGTGATTTTTGCCCTCATTGAGGGCACAATCAATTTTTTAGAAACGTGTGTTATCTATTGTTTATATATCAAATAGACTCATTATTTCTTCCTCTTTTTAGAGTGTAACTCTTGATTATTTGGGGACAAAAGCCAAGTGAGGGAGTTCTATGTTTATTTTACTATTATGTTTAAATATGTTTTTAAAATAGGCACCTAGTTAAATACTTTTAATGATGGGTTAAATTTTGTGTATTGGGATTATTTCCACACACACTAAAATGAGTTTGAAATGTTAGACTCTCTAAATTTCAGAATATAAATGCATTTCAATTACTTTTAAGTTCAGGTACTCAAGCTAGAATGAAAAAACATCACTTAGGTTAGTCCTGCTTCACTGACTAAATAAAAATAATATGTAATCAGTACATCAAATTAACAATCTAAAAATCACTAGCCCCAGTCTATTATGTATACCGTGTAATTTTTTAAATGAAAGATACTTCTAAAACATTTGAAACTTTCTAATCTGACTAATGGGCAAACTTTTTTTTTCTTATAATCTTGTTTACACTATTTATTACCCACTTTCTTTTAATACATAGAACATAGGAGATATTGTCATTTCCTGTTTGTGAACAAATCTCTAATTAGCACTGTGAGAACTACCAGGTTTTATTGCAGGGGTCAACAAGTACCTTAAAGGTTCCCAATTTCTGATGCCATTTGACAATTCGCAGATATGCCACCCTCCAGGCAATAACCAACAGTGAATATTAGGATGGCTTCTCACCCTCATGTACCTGCACCCCAATGCTTCCAAGAATTATAATCAGGAATCTTCCAGCCCCACTCCTGGGGGACTGAAGAGGCAGAGTTTGTAACTTGGAACTGGATCCCATTTGGGAAAGGTAGCCAATTCCTGTGTTAACATCATAGAAAGACCTCGAACTAAGAGAAGGCCTTGAAGACTATCATTACCCCTCCTGCCACACACCACACACTGGACCGAGGCCCAGACGAGCACGTGCAGAAGGCTGACCTGGTCAGGAACCTGTGAGCCCATAGTTTAAGGGTGTTTTCACTGCAGTCTTTTACCAGTTATTATTGTTATTTTTCAATTAGAAGGGGGGAAAATAGCAAGAAGGATGTGGGTGTGTATATTTCTTGGAATCCAGAGGTTTGGGGGGAAAAGGGGGAGAAATCCATGAAAAAAATGTCCCCAGTACAAAAGTTGGCAAAACAAATAGTTCTCTTTAAAAAAAAAAAAAACATGAACTGTGTAACAAGAGAAATATTTTCTCTCACAAGGAGAAAGTGTTCTTGAGCCAAGTTTAAACAGAGGAAAAATTTTCCAGCATGTCAGGAACGGAGCTGACGTTCCATGAAGAAGAAGAAGGAAAAAAAAAGTGCTGGAGGAAATAGTAAGGGGGAACAGGCACCAGAATTCAGACGGAGCTTTAAATTCCAGACAGGCCGCAGTTGTGAGCACTCGAGAAGGTCCCCCATTGAAGGCAGACTCTAGTCCGTTTCTCTCTTGAGGTCCCAGCCCCAGTGGACATTTCCTGTTCCGCCTCTGGAGATTCAAGCCCCAAATTACAAAACATCCTTTCCCTGTAACCAAGTGCTTGGTTCGGAGACTATCCCCTGCCCACGTCAACGATCTCAGGCCTGCCCTCCCCTTCCTTCCGCGGAACCCCTCCCTGACCAGCGGAGCTTGGCTTCCCAAGGAGAGATGATGGATCTGCAGTAGCAGGTGGTGCCAAAGCCAGAGGGAAACGACCCCTGGAACCACGGCTGAAGAGGTAGGAACCCAGGGTACTGGGCATTCTTGCTACCGTTTCACATTTATTGAGCAAAATGAGGTGCTTGTCCTTTAAACCTTCTGCTGAGGGCATTTTCGCTGATGGGTGTGTGTCGTGGGTGGATGGACTCAGAGGCTAAGGTCAGGCATTTCTTTTCCCACTCTCTTTCCAAATTTAATTTGACTTCCTGGGTCCTTGGAAGCACACGTTTTGTTTGAGTTCCGGTGTGGAAAGTGTTATGGCAGAATTCTGGGAATTCCCTAATTCTCTTTGTTTCTTTTTCTTTTCTTTTCTGTTTTTGGAGTCCCTGGCATGTCAAGGAGCATTCATAAATACCTTCAGCTTTGAATAGATTCACAGAGAAATGACTGAAGTGGAAGGGCTAGGAAAAGGCATTTTTGCCACTATGAACTGGGGTCCAGCTGTTTCCCAGGACCTGATGCTCTCTCCTTCCCTCTCTCCCACCCACCATCATGTATGGGGACACATGCTTTGAGCTGTCCCTCCAGGCATGGAGATGTGGCACCTTGAGACACATTTGTACATTTATGGGCAGAGCCCCACTGTGTGAGGCTTAGCTGCCTGTGGCAGAGCTAACTGGTCTACCCAGAAAGCTGCATGTGGCCCTTGGCTTCCGTAGGGACGTGCTCTCAGCAGTCCTTGCTGGAAGGCTGGCTTTGGCAACACATGTGCTGACATTAGACTGACTCAGATAACTCAGCATGGCTTCTGCACAAGGAGTACTTGAAAATGTATGAAGCAGTCATTAATGAAGTATTTCAAATGCCTTTTCTCTGTACTGCTATGGCTTTGACTTCTCTGAACCACACATTTTGCTCCTTAGCCATGTGCTGCTGTGCACTGTTTTCTAACAGGCTAAATACGAGTAGAAGAATGAATTGAACAAAACTAGTCATAACCTATTAGTTGGTGATCCCAAGACAGCCACTAACTCTTGTTGAGCACTTGATGTATGCCAACCACCATTTCAAGGGTGGTGGGTATCATCATCATCATCACCCCAATTTTACAGATGAGGAGATTAAGGCTGGAGACACAACTAGTAAGTGGTAGAGGAAGGATTCGAACTGAGGTAGCCTCAGTCTGGAGTCCATGCTGCCATGCTCTGATACCAGGAAGATTGGGGTTTGAATCTTGGTTCAAGCATTGTCTAGCTGGGTGACTTTGGACAAGTTAAACGTCCTCAACCTCAGTTTCCTTATCTGTGAAATGGGATAGTAATAACCCACCCTCACAAATGGGGTTATGAAAGGTAAATTAATTTTAAAAGATTATTTTACTGAAGCAAGTGAACAATAAAAGCATGTTCTTCCCATTCCTGAGAGTGTACAGTGTGACCATGGAGGGATCCCTGTAGAAGGCAGCAACAATGTCTTGTTAGGTTTGTACCTTCCACCAGGGACATTGGAGCTCCCTTGCCAGCTAGTGCAAGACTGTAGCTGCTAGTTCACTAGACCCTAAGCTCCCTAATGCAGGGTTCGTGTCTTATATACACTTGTTTCTCTTAGAAAAATGTTTCTTAAGGACACCCTTGCCCTTCGGAAGGGGTGCAGGGTCCCTTTTGGGGAGGAGTTCATCTCCTGCCCTGGGGAGCCCCCTTGGAGGCGTGTGCCAGCCAGGCTCAGGAGGTGAGCTCTTCCATCTCAGTCATCCCGCCCTCACATGCAGGGATAGACAAGGGGCAGAACCCCAGGGAGCTTAGATTACAACCTGGCCTCTCTCTGAGTCTTTTCTGAGTGTGCCCTTCTCACTTCTGCTCACAGTTATGGACTGCATGATCAATAATCATAATAGCTATTATTGATCTTCTTAAATGATAACAGCTTACTTATTGAGCCAGTCATTGTGCTGAGCACATTACACAGATTAGCTCATGTACTGCTCACAAAAGCCCTGTAAGGCAACCTTTAGCATGATCCCCACTCTGCTAATGAAGACTCTAAAGGTAGAGACATTAAGCGACTTGCTCAAGGCCACCCAGCCAGTAAGTAGTGTAAGTGGGATTGGATCTCCAACCCCTGAGTCCAAGCACACCACCTTGAATATTTTTGCAGCTCTGTTTCACAGAGGTAAGAGGGATATTGTGTGAGTACAGTTCTTTCATATTTTTGGCAAAGGATGCCCCCGAGAATAGGCTGGGAGGAACAGAGTGACAGGGCCAGGACAGAATGTTCCATGAAAGGAAGGGTGCTTTTGTGAAAAAGTGGAGTCAGGATTCTTGTCCAAGCTATATCTCTGATAAACTTGACCTCTTCTCTGAGAGGTCATAGGGTTTAATGGGAAAGAGCCAGCTGTGTAGCCAGACTCCCTGGGTTCAAATCCCAGTTCTGCCACACGTATCAGCTAGATCACCTTAGGAAAATTATCAAAATAATGATATCCTATGTAGAGAGATGAAAATAACAGCACCTATTTCACAAAGATATTATGAGGATAAAATGACTGTCCACATAAAGTATTTAGAACTGTGTCTGGCACATAGTGAGAACTCAATAAATATGTTATTATGTGTAAAAAAAAAAAAAGGTTGCTGGATTAACCTTAGGTAAGATAGTTGGGTGGCAGTCCAGAAATAAGAAGTAACTAGTGTTTGAGACTGTAAAATGGGCACAAACAATTTCAACTGTGAGCTGGGGAGGGGAGAGTTTCAGCCTGGAAGGACCCAGTGTCTCTGAGAGACAATTTGGGACCTATAGAAAAGAGCTTAGATGTTCTCCCAGGGATTAAAGAGGCAGAACTACAACAGCAAGTCTTTAGGGTTAGCCTTGCCAAATTGGAGCTTTTGATTAAATGAATTACAATGTATTTATCTTTGCAGTTACAGAAATTAGTCCCAACAGTTAGACCTATTGTTATTTCAAAAAAATTTGCTTGTTCATTTCAATGACTAAATGATATTGGCTTAACCACTTGTATTTTTGGAGGATGACTTTAAGATTTCAAGCGGAGATATAACATTGAAGAGCTAAATATAGCCGATTTAAAAAAAAAACAGTAAGGAGATCATGACTTACAAAAGAATTGTGTGGCTTTTTTTTTTTTTTTTTAAGATTTTGTTGGGGAATTGGGGAAGGGGAACAGCCAAGTTGTTGTCCTTCAATCTTAGTTGTGGAGGGAGCAGCTAGCTCAGCTCCAACTCCAGTCGCCATCTGGCTGCCCTTTGGCAGCTCACAGCCGCTCAGCTCAAGGTGCTGTGTTCAATTTTAGTCCACAATCCCATGCAGTAGTCCAACCTGCAACCTTGTTGTTAGGAGCATGTGCTCTCACCAGCTGAGCAATCCTGCCACCTGTTGGCAACTCAGCGGCAGCTCAGCTTGGGCGCAGCCCACTGGCCCATGTGGCAATCAAACTGGTGACCCTGTTGCTCAGAGCTGGAGCTCTTAACCAACTTAGCCACTCGGCCGGCCCTTGTGTGGCATTTTTAAAGAACAAACTTGTGAGCACAGCCTAAGTCTAGATTAAATTTGAAATGATTTTGGAAGTAGTGTGCATCATCAGTTGGCCAACCTTTACTGGAAGTAAAAGTGGGCAAGAAATAAATAAATGGCTGTCATTTACTGAGCACTTACTATGAGCCAGGCCTTGTGCTAAGTGCTTCATATGCATGTGTTTAATACTCATAATCACCTATCAGCTGAGTACTATTATAATATTATCCAGTTTACAAACGAGGATAGCAAGGTTTAGAGAAGGAAATAATATGCACAAAAACACACAGCTGCTAAGTGCTAGGGTTGGGATTCTAATTCAGGACTGTCTGATTCGGGTATGCGTACTTAAACCTTACATTATGGTTCATTAAACCATCCCTGATTTAAGCCATCTCTATTTGTTTGAAGAGTACTGTACAGCTGACCCTTGAACAACACAGGTTTTAACTGTGCAGGTCCACTCATATGCAGGTTTTTTTCAATAAATACTGTAAATGTACAAGTATTTTCTCTTCCTTATAATTTTTAAATAACACTTTAGCTTAACTTATAGTAAGAATACAGTATATAATACAATCACATACAAAACATGTGTTTATCCACTTTATGTTACCAGTAAGGCTTCCGATCAGCAGTAGGCTATTAGTAGTTAAGTTTTGGGGGAGTCAAAACTTATACATAGATTTTCAACTGTGCAGGGGTTTGGTGCCCCTAACCTTCGCGTTTTTCAAGGGTCAGCTATATTTGGAAGTGGATGGAGGGAGTAGTAACTCTCACAGCATGAGGTCTGAGCACAACACTCTTAGACATTTGGGAGACCAGGGGTCAGAAGGTGCAAAGGGCACGTGACAGGGGAGGCAGAGGCACGGTGCAATTGCGTCTAAGCAAGCAAAGTGCGCCAGGCAAGGCCAGCCATGGGTAAACCTGTGGAGCTGGTTGTCTTCTTAATCTTTTTTCAGGACCCCCTGTCTCCAGAATTCCTCTTTCCTTTTCTGAAGGGATCTCTGTCACTCTGACAACACAGAGAAGGTCCCAGCTGTGGCCTCCCACTGAGCCCAGCTCTGCCCCTAATACTCTCAGTATCCCACGTATCTAAAATTAACCTACCTATTTGTTGTCCATCAAAACCCCCTTTGACCAGTGCCTGACTTTTAGCAAACCACTGGACAGTGATTAATAAATGAATTGATACGCAGGTACAGCTCTAGTGGAAGAGTTTTAGACTTCACTGTGGCAGTGAACAAAGGAAGCATTTTGGAATAGAGAGACTCCCTAGGCACCCCTTAAGCACACTCCACAGGTTGTTAACTGCTTCAAAGCTGGAAAGGCAAACACCTTTCTGAGGATCTGAAGTCCAGATTGCAACCTTTTAATGTGTTACATGATAGAGAAACTGCTTATCTGAATTCTCAAAACATTTAGAGCACAGACTCAGCCAGGACAGTTCTAGGCAACAGTGTGAAGTACTCGTATATGATGTCCTTCCTCAGTGCCCAGAACACTCTGTCCTTTTCTTAGTCCTAGGGCCCCTTTTTCTACCCACCTTCT